AAAAGTAGAGCTGTTCTATAGGACTTTGTTTTTCTAAGTAATTCAACAAATAATTACTCCTTTCCATGGCTATTATGCTCTTTTACTACGGTGTCAAGTAACACATTATTGAGCTCTTGCATAATTTTAAAAACTTCTTATGAAGCTGGTGCTCAGACAGTTAGTTAAGTTTTAAGATCATTACAAATAGGACATAAGGCTAGTATTTACATTGCTTATGTTTCAAGAATAGTCACTAAAATATCGTTAACCACATTTCAGATGTGACCTTACAAACACCTTACAGATGTGACTGACCTCTGTAATTTAACTTTGTGTTTCTTGTTACTGAATTTGTCTACACCCCAGCAGAAGAGGCTGGTTCAAGACTTGAGGCATTTGAAAGATCTGCAGTGTGATTTTATCTCTGTTCTTTTTCTGTTTTGTGCCTTTTCCAACAATTGACAAATACTGCAGAGGGGAATATAGGTCTGCATGGACATGATTAACGATATATCAATTGCATGACAGTTTCCTGGCTTCCCAGCACCATGGCAGATCCAAAGGACAGTCACAGATGTAAGGCTTAGCAGATGTATATGCACTTGCAGTCTTGGAATACCTACAAATTCTCTTGAAGGCAATGGGACCTTTTATGTACCTCTTAAAACATATCTAGGACTATAAACTCAATCACTTTGGGAAAACAGTTAGGTTTGTGTATGAAACCTAAAGTTTTGAAGTATACAAGAAGTCTCTTCTGTCTTTAAAGTCTATGAAACACTCCAATGCTCAAAGTACTGTATACATTCAAATGGAAGGTGAGGGAGGACAACAGAAAAGCTGAACATTGTAGCTGAAGAGAAGCATGAGTCACATCAGATAGACAACTCCACTAAAAGTAAAATAATGGCCTTTGTGTGGATTTTAATTGCAATCAGTTCACATCTGAAACCAGAGAAGCACTGGCATGGAGTAAGGCCAGGCTCAGTAATAAAATACTGAGAGTACGAACGAGAGGGAGACATTAGTAATAATATAACAGATCTTTGGGCAAACAGTTCCAGTAGAAGATGTCCTTGAAGATGGTATTATTATCAGAACCAGACGACCTGTAAGGTCCCTTTCAACCCAACGTATTCTATGTTCTATGATCTAGATCAGCTGAAAGTAGTAATGAAGCTTCTTCCTGCCTTTATCTGTGCTCATTTCAGAAGAAACATGCTAAAAGAACTGAGGCACGTGGGCTTTGAGGGAGTAAATCTAGTTTGGTCAAATACAGAGGGGAATGGTGAAATAACAGAAAAGCTGAAGCTGAGTCAGAACATTATAAGCCAAAACAGAAAAATATATTTCAAAGACAAGGAGAAGGCATAGAATAACTTGGCAAGAGCCAAAATAAATCCTGATTTATACTACAGATAATGTTATTTGGCATACATCAATAAAGTGATGAAGAAGTTTCCAAGGCTGGAACCTAATTCTACAATGATTTTTCAATCTGCTTTATTTTGAGCTCAAGGTATGAACATCAGAAGGAGGGCATAGCACAAAGGAGCCTGGCTTTCTGTATGAATTGAACCTAATAAAGAATTTCTGATTTTTATGAGCCTTCTTATGCTTACATCTTTCCTCTATCAAACTTCATTTTAATTGTTTGTCACTCTCAGTAAACTGCTCCATACAATATCTGCTGTATGCAACGCACTATGCTTTACACATTTCTTCCAGGATGAAAAAAGCTAATTTATCTAGATTTTTCTCTTTTTTTTTCCTTTTACTTTCCATTTCTATGGCTCATTCCTCATTCCAATATTTCTGAAAATATAATAAGATATATACAGAATAATTAAAAAAACATAGCAATTAACCTGTCTCAGGGAAAGCATCATAAAGTAAGTGCTGCTTCAGGGAAATTTCTCAAGTAGAGTCAAAAGAGTATGCAGAGAACAACATAATATTTAAGGCAACACGCCAGTCAAATTATATCCAATCAAGTCTGGCACAGTTGATTTAAAGTACCTTGGTCTTTCTATCCAGAGTTATCCATTTGAGCAGACATAAATATAGAGGATGTAAGATGTCATAAAAGCAACATTGCAGTTCGTGATTATATAAATGAAATAGATATAAAATAGATATACACACTCATAGGAATTGAAAATAAGTCTGATGTAATTAGGCTCACTTATATAATTTATGGAAGGTTTTTTTTAATACACAATTTACTGAAGAAACTGCATCACCACATATAAAATGTAGTTGTACTTGATGCAATACAATCCAATATACTTAATTCTCTGAGGCGTGTTGGGAAAACATTAAAAATAGCTATACTGGTCAAAACCAAGCATTCCGGTATCAATACGCTTTCTTTAGCCATGACCAAAAACATATGCCTAGGACAGACCAAATATGAAGTCAGAAACTGCCTTTAATTTTCTGGATCTCTCAGTTGATGTTCTCATGCATTGTGCAACATCCTGCAAGCTGTGTTCAGCAGAAGTTTACAGTCTGTTGCACTGTATGTGAAGTTACAGTTTCTGTTTTTCCTCATCTTTATCAATTTACATTTACTTTCTTCATCTGCCGTTTTAATGACTGTTCACTCATCTCAAAGCATCTTTTCTGCAGTACTTTATTGAGGTTTCAACCTCTATTCCTACTCTTTTTTTCCAAACTTTAATCCTCTAGCTTTGGTGAGGGAGATTTTGAGAGCATTTGGAAAGCCTATTTACATCAAATGGATCTTTTTTATCACACACTCATTTCTCCAAAAAACATATTCCTCTATATTCTAGTTAATCTATTTTATTTTTCTTGTGGTTTCTAATAATTTTTATTGTATGAACATCAGATTCATTGGTTTGTAATTTTTGGCTTTCCCATGATACGATTGTCACATTTTCTGTCTTTCAGTCCTGAAGAATCAAGGTGGTTTCAGCTAAAGGTTATAAAACAACAACAGTAATTCAGTACCTGCCCTCCAGAATAACTTTACAGTGGCCAAGGGTGGTCCTGGCAATTCTTTCTCTTGTAAAGACAAGATTGTTCACCACATTTACTCATGTTTATGTTGGCATGTTCCTAACTATTCTTAGGTAGTTCTTGTATACATGCTCTGCCTCCATAGAGAGTGGATATAAGAAAAGCCACAGTTCCTTCTTCTTGGACTGCAATTGCTGCCTTTAGCAAGTGGAATGGTAACCAAGTCCTGCTTAAAATGCATGAGAACACTCTCATTCAAACCAGGGGAAGACTGGTCTCTGTTGGGTTGAGTGGAAGTTTTTGCTGCAAATTTGAATGGATATAAGGTGCCAAAAGCCAGAAGTTGCTTTTCCAACCCAATAGCCAGTGAACAAAAGCAAATGGAAAAATCACTTAAGCAGACCAAGGAGCAGCAAAATGTTCTTTCCATTTCTCTTTCTGCTCATCGAGAAATAAAAAAAAACAGCTTGCATTCATAAGAAAAAATATCGAGGAAAGCATAGTACTTTTCCATTCAGGAACATAGATTCTTTTCTCAAGAAACTACTGACAAGAAGACGAATGCTCATTTCATTCATCAGAGTGCCTTACTGGAACAGTAGCAGAAAGAATTCATGACAGAACTGATCCAGCAGAATTTCTCACTGTAACTTCTTTAATCAGGAAAACACTTTACACCTGAAAAGCAGAATGCTTTTCCAAGGACTCAGATGGAAAAGACTCAGAACCCCACGTCCTACAGCTACACTGGCTCCATGAAATATTACAAATGGCCCTCAATAACATAAAAATATTACTGTACAGGAACAAAGACCACAAGTTACCTAGCTGCCATGTCATACAACTAGGCTTAATAAGAAATAACTGGAATGTTTGTTGATAAGATTAAAAAAAAATCAACAAAAAACAAATTAAGGGGAGTAAAGTAGGAATTACAGGGACAGCTGAACAGTCGTGATCAGAACATGCACAGATGGCACGCAATGCCTGGGATGGTTTGAGTATGTTACATTTTAGTAAGAATACGAATGTGGTTTACGGATGTGAAGACAGTGTAGGTATAGTATGACAGTCAGGAAAAGGGAGGCAGCTGCTCTGCTTCAGTTTAGGATGGAGTTTGCTGAAGTCATTAGTGGGCTTGCCTGTAACACCAGTGACCATACAGCCCATGGCCTTTGCTATTGGGTAGGTTTCTCAGTTGTGCTCTAGGTCAGGAGACTTAACTAGTCTGGACTGTGAGCTCTCCTTTTCCAAGTATTGAAGAATTCCACCTATTCTCACACTACTGATTACCATGCATCTTTAAGTATCTATTCACATGTATCAGATAGTTATAGCTATTTAGGTGCTGTCAGACAGCAGTAAGTATGATTTCAAAAAAGCGGTGAAGGAAGTTTAGTGACCAATATCCCAACATTCGCCCTCTAAGATGGAGTGCTAACGTTTGCAGCCTGTTATTTTGTAAGGTATTCTTTTTAGGACAGAGATAGCAGGACTGCAGAGACGTTTATCTATTACACTTATCTATTAATATGAACACTGAGCTGCCAAGCAAATACATACTAGCAACAAGAGAATGTTCAGCAATTATTTTCCTTTAATCTGTGAATTTTGATCTATTTGACACTCCCCATTCTGTGGCCAGCAGGATCCAATCATTTTTATCAGCACTTCAAGAACTACAATACGCCACCAAGACTGAAGAAAAATGAGGATGTAAAAGTAATCTGTGCAACAGATAGAGGTGTTTACATATAGATAGTATGTTCAGTTTGATAAATAATTCTTCCTGTAGTTGGATATTTTTCTAAATATCTGCTATCAAGAAGACACTCTGAAAGTGCCAAGTTCAATTTCCTTTTTCTAGATACAACAAAATGGACTGAATTTATACGTGCCATATGTATGCCACTGGTTTATTGATATTAAACTCTGAAAATCACGAAGAAGCCTGGCAAATGAGAGGCTATTTCATTTTAATACAGAAGTGACAGTTCTGTGACCTTTTTATGTCATTTGTCATATGAACTTACCAAGCAGCTTGAGAGAAATGACATCTTGGATGAGAGTCCAGCCTGATGAATGAGGTGACAGTCTGTTTTTGTTTTCTGTTTTTCCCCATTCATTTGTCTTAAGAAAAAAAGGACACCTGGAAGTAAATAAATAAATAAATAAATTGCAAATAGAAGACAAAACTGAATAAAACTTTCTGATAGAACTATACTATCATTTTATAATCACTATATTATATTATATTATATTATATAATCACTATACATATATATGTATATATATATATATACACATATATATGTTATATATTATATAATCACTATACAATTATACTAGGTAATCTGCCCCAAAGGTAAGTTGGTCTCTTGTTTTATTTTGCATTTCTGTGACGATCTTAATTTAAATAGGCAGTGGTACAGTCTGTTTATGAAATGAAGAAATGTGCTAAGTAAGTAACTATGTAGACGCAGCAGTAACATGGCAACAAGGCAGACTCCTAAATTCACCACTGTTTTGTAGTTTTTTCTAATCCACTGCTACATATTAGGAAAACAACAACAAAAGAAAAACCCCCACAACTCATAGAATTTTTACAAAAGGGTTTTAGAATCACTTTCAAAGTATAGCACTGGTGCATGATATTCAGGCATGCAAACAGCATGGGCACAATACAACAGCTACACTACACTTATTGGATTTCCTCTATACTGGGATCTGGTTCAGCTGAAGCTCAGGAGTGAGTTCACACTAGATCAGCATCGGTCCCCAAGCTCCCCTACTGGTGTGACAGTGCAAGAACAGCAAACAGACATGCCAGGTCAGCAGAGCTGGCCCAGCTTCATCCTTGTGTAGCCACAGGCAGTCCAACTTTACATAGTGAACAGTAAGCAATCGGTATGAATGCTCCCATCCTTCCAGGACGAAGGTATTTTAAAAATTCAAGAACTTATCAATCAGGCTCCACAGACTCCCCCAGATATTGGCATCTACAATTCACAAGACTAGGCAAAGTTCATCTGAAACCATTTTACAAGTTAGAGCCATACTTCCCTACCAGAAAATTTTCAACATGGTATATGTATGAGAATATACATATTTACGTATAAAGACATTTGTATATTATATATACATGAACACATATGAATTTGGAAGTAAGCACACATGCGCAAACACATGAAAAATCTACAAAAGAAAACCAAGATTCTGGATTGTTTTCCTGCGATCAGATGATCTGAGTTCATTCTGATTTATAACAAAATACTCTGCCAAAATCACCAGTGCAGTAATTAATTAACTTCAGCCAGCTATATTTGCTGGCACTTTGCCCTTTTATATTATTAATGAACTAGTTTATTTTGTTTTCAAGATGAAATACCTATCATTCCAGTTTGCAATAGGATCCACAAAGAATATCCCTTTCCATACCAGGAACATTTTTGCAAAATCAAAGCCTTTTCCTTCTTCCCATTTTTCATACTTAAAAAAAATTAAATTGCACACGTGCCACATTTACTGTCTTTCAAAAGAGAGACTTATGGCCTTGTGGCTCCAGCACTCTGTGGGTAGGAGAGAGAGCAACAGAAGGGGCAGCAACAGAGGTTGTATTTCCCCAGCATACAAGTTTCCTCCCTGCCCTTCCAGCCATTTCCAGGCTCTTGGTGCCACAAGGTACCATAATCCAGTAGAATATAACCCACTAAAAAAATTACCTTTTTTTTTTTTTTTTTTTTTTAATAACTAGAAGGGTTTTAGCAGCCTTGCCAGACTAAACCTTATTTTCTAAGGCTCAGGACCTTTGATGAAGTCTGCTCTGGGCAGAAATTTTACAAGATTCTCTAAGAACCAGTAAGTAAAATGGTTTGCAAACTCGATGTTACATAAGAGTATAAAAATAATTAGTGCTAGGTGCCATTTATTTACAGTGCTTGAAAATGTCTGAGAAAAAGGTGGCAAAAATTATAATTACTAATTAACTTCAAGCTCTGTTCTAGATACATTCATTTTAGCTTTGCATGAAGAAAAACAGAAGCATGTAAATTTAATGCATGTAAAATATATGATCAGTATTATAGATGCAGACTTTTAGATCATGCAGAGGGTGTGTTATCCCACTACTTCTCCCTTCATTGGCAAATATGCATTTGGGACAAGTTGCTTCTCCGGAGACAATCTGCATGGCTGGGAGTGGGCCAGATCTACTGAAAAAAGAACACAACTGAAGAGCTTTGTTTTGGTCAATAGACTTTTGCTTTTCATTTTTCAGAAACACAGAATCTGTCCTGATATCCCCTGCCAAAAAAGCATTAGTAGTTGGCTTTGCTCTCCTTTTCAATCAGTCATTTGGGATTTGCCTTTTTGGAGGGAGTGGGCAGCAACAACTGCCTCTTTTGAAGCAGTGAGAACTTTCATTATCACAATGATAATGGTTCTGTTGTCATTTTGAATGATAGCAGGTCAGTTTGGAAAAGAAAAGCAACTTTGGGAGAAATGCTGACAAAGAATCCAAATCCAAGTCAATACACTGTCTTAACAAAGAAAAATTACTTTTTGAGGGTAATACTCATTTCATTGAAATTGAATTTATTGATGAAAAGGTGGGAGAAATGATTCTCCTAAAAGAAAACCTTTTTTTTTCTTCTAGTTTTCTTTTTCTTTCTTTTTTTTTTTTTTTCTCCACTTTGGCAATGCTTTTGATCTTTTACTATGACATATGACAGAAAGTGCTTGATAGAAAGTAAAATGGTATCAATATGTATGAGGAGTTTCTTTCCATACTCCAGCAGAAAAAAAAAGTAATGCTTTGAGAACTCCCATAGCTGATGAGAGAGATTTACATCTTCTCAGATGCAGTAACATGGCACCAGTTAGGCTGTGAATAGCAGCAGTTTTTGAGCAGCAGTTGAGCATGACTATTTCAAAAGACTTTAAGCAAAAGTCTTTGCAAAAGATTGGCTGGCAGTCAGCACTTCTCTTACATCTGAATAAAGATAATCTACATAGTGATTTCTTAGCATTTCTTCCTTTGCTTCCTCTCCTGTGTAGCAATTCTAGACTCTGTTACATTTGTGAATGTGATGACAGGGACTTGATTTTCTTCCTTTCCATGTTTAAAGATGACCTTGATGTTAAAGCATGTTTCAAAGGTCCCTCAGCTTCGTTTAATATCCAGACCTTTAAGTGTGGTCTTTAATAGCTGTAAAATGTTCTCATAAATTCCAAGCTATGTATTTTCTATATTGTTTCTTTATGGTTCATTTAGTGTGACATTATATCAAAAATTTTAAAAAGGCATTTCCTTCTCAATCAGTTCTGAATCAAGTGTCTGAAAAAAGCTCTCCTACAACTTTCTACTTGAGCCATTAATTAATGCACTGCTTGTTAACTGCTGCTGTAGCTTTTGATTCACAGACACCAGAACAATCCTATAGTGATGGATGTTCTGGAAAGGCTTAGACAGTGAGGCTGGAATGTATGCACACATCACAGTAAAATGAGAAACGACATTCACTTCCAAATGATCTTTATGTGATAATACTTTAAAGAAGTGGTAACATCGGGCTGGATACTGCAAGAGTATAAGTAAATATAAGCAATGTACCATGTGTTTTATCAACATTTGCCAGTGTAATTTTAGAATATAAAATCAAAACATAGTATGGTGCTTTATGATGCAAGGAGCATTTTTGTAGATAGCATAAATAACAAATCAAGAATGTCTGTAGCTATGAATAAAGATGTCCTGAACATTAGAAAGAGCCTGCTGTGAGGGAAAATCAAAAACCTGTGTGGAAGTAGAATGAGCTAGTGGTAATCAGGCCTGTTGAATTTAATGGATCTGGTTTTATTTTCACTATTTTCCTACAAAGTAAGAAAGATTTAAATATCCACCACAAATTCTCTACACAAGCCGAGTATAACAAGCTGTGCTGTAGAAAGCTTTTTGTTTAACGAGCATTTCCAACCATAAAAAAGAAAAAAGAAACCAGAGAGAGAAGTATGTCAAGCTACCAAATGGTCTCCATCCTTTTTCTTGTCCTGGAGGAATTTCAGACCACAGAACACTTGCTTTGGTTTTCCAAACTTCCTGCAGCACTGCTACAGGCAACACACTGTGTCTGTAGAACTTCTAGTTACTCCAAGGGTGTGTTGAAGTGTGTGATGGTGCACCATACCATAAACACAGCAGTTTAGTCTATCTGACCCCATGTAAAATCAGTAGAGAAGCTGAAGGGCCAGGCACCCCTTGCGTCCCACAACAGCACAACAGACATAAATTGAGCTGCAAAACTTACCCATGAAAGTGGCTGACAGGGTCTGTGATGAGCTCTGGGCTGTCACCATTGGCATCAACCTACATTGAAGGTGCTGTGGCACTACCATCGAACTCTGCAACTGTCATCCTGGGTACAGGTTTGAGTCTGCTGAGAGATTAACAACAAACTGTTCAGCTTGATACAAATTAAAGGAATAGAATTGTACCTCAGAGAGGAAGGGCAGTCAGAGAACAATTGAGAAGCCTCAGCTGGTTAATACCTTCGGTTTTGTTGGTGACCAGAAGCTATAAAACAGCAGAAAAGAGTCACGCTTACTAAACATCTGTTATTTGGCCATCTTCAGTGCTAGTGTTGGAGTGAAAAACCCTCCTGAAAAGCTTTCTGGCACCATGACTTTGAGCAGAGGGATGAGGCTGAGTGGATTTGTGAAATGGATCTGGCAGGAGCCCTGGTGCTGCACCTGTGAAAAGGAATGGCTACACCAAGCATGTCCAACCTGCAGCTCAGCCCAGCCCATGCTGCCGCCATCCCCTGCCCCATGCCATCATAGCAGTGGCTGTGCTTCATGAAGCAGCCTGGTGACTATGTTGAAAAGCAGTGTTTTGTAGCTGAGAATTTATTCTATCAGTGTTACTGTGCTCATTGTATCTGTTGTATTTTCTGTGGAAATGAATAGGAAGCATTACTTTCAGAGAAACCCAGCCCAAGACTATACCTTCTTATTCAGTGTGGCTGGCCAGGCAAGCCGTAGAGTTGAACAGCAAGGAACACAAGTGTTATTAGTAATTAGTAAAAGCATAACCAGATGCCTCAGAGAAGTATCAGGTACACTGATGAACCACAAAGACATGCAGACCATCGTCTAAGGGAGCTAAAGAAAAAGCAATTTCATTGTGTAGCAGGGTTTCAGAGTATCTGGGGACAGACATTTCTTTGCTTTCCTCCTCTCATCGATTTGTACGACATGTGTTCTTGTATCTGCCATAATTATACATTTAGGGAAAGGAAACACCCATAGACAGCAACAGCACTAAGACTCAGTTACAGGAGAATCATACTGGATTTTCATTTGGCTGCTAAAATAAAACCAACGGAAGCCTAAAAGGGTAGTGTTGAAAGAAATAACAGATATGTGTGAATGCTGGATGAACCTGGTGAATAACCCTAGCCAGAAAAAATCAGAAGATGTTGTCAATGCCACACCTACTTTCTACAAAATTTTATGTTTTTAGGAAAGCTCGGGTACCTGGGTTTTGGTGGTCCACATTAAATGCAACTTGTTGTGTTGTTTTGTATCATCTCAGGGTAGAAAAGTATTACAGAATGCGTGTATTTAGTGTATTCTGCTTGTGTCAGTCAGTAAGTGAAAGCATGCCCTATCTAATTAAATCTGGACTTCATGTGCATCTCCTCATTTACCTACTGTGCAAATAATGGGAGCTAACACTGTAGTATTAAAATCAGATAAAATCACATTTTTATTAAGACAGTGTATGGAAAGATATAAGTATCATGTGAAACATATTCTCTTTTACGTATTGCATAGAGATCTGAAATTGATCAAGATGTCCCTAAGAATGTATCAGCAATGGATAGAGAGCAAACTCCTCATCCTCCAGGGATCAGGCAGCTTCTTTCTGTTCTTTCCTACTGCCTCCTTGATTGAAAATGAGCTTGTTTGGTTTGTTTTCCTCTTATCATTTCAGTTAGGGTAGCATCAGAAGGCATTATCATAATTTAGCCAACTTCTCTCCACTTAGTAATTCTAAGACAGGCAGTTAAACTGCACACATATTCCCATTTCCATTTCAGCCTGGATTTTGGCCTTCTGTATTAAGTTAGCATTAATCAAAGGCTTATGTATAACTTTCAGGAAAGTACATGTTATTTTTGCCAAGTAAAATATAAGAAGTGAGGGAAAAGAAAAAAAAGAAAGAGAAAAACTGTGAACATAGAAAGTTGCATATGGAGATATGTAAGAGTCCACAGAGCCACTTTGCTAAAACAGTCCATATGTGCTTCAGTAACAGTGCAAGGAAGGGAATACAGCTTGTAGACACTTTTAGGAGAGAGAACCACAGCTTATGGAGATGTAAAATAGAGATATGTAAGATGGAAAGGTCATGCAGAAAAAAATGATTTAAACAATTACGGTGATGTATGTATATTAAAACAGAAGAGAACAATATTAACTAAATCCAATCTAATATTATGCTTGTGTGTATTCTTCGTATCTATTGATTGACCTAGGCTGATGCATAAGACTCCCACATGAATTAACAGTTAACATTTCAGAAAAATTGTGAATATGAAGTTGCTTTTAGAATGGCATGTATTAACAGATTTAGCTGTATTTTTCTGAAATAACCTTAATTATGATAGTGGGATTGGACTCAAAGTATGTCTGTCATGAAACCAGGTAAGCATGGTATAAGCACATCTTGAGGTAAGTTACTGAGCACATAATACATCACAGTTATTCTGTTGATAGCAATACAGTAAAACATCAGTTTCTGATAAGATGGTCCTTCCAGCCACTGTATCTGTAATTCCAGCACTGCGGTCTGTAAGTACCCAATGGAAAATGCCTCCTACACATGTTGTATCTTTGTGCTTTATGCATCTTATGGACACCATTCAATTTAGAAAGACAAACTTGGAGCCTATTCTGTGCCTACTAAAGTCTGAATAATCTTTTCCTCTGAGCCAGCAAGCATTTGTCCCAATCCTTGTTACCTATTATCTCTGCATTTAAATGCGCTTTATTATTATTAATAATCCTCTTTCAGCTCAATTTATGTGCAGACAAAATACACGTAAAACTCAAATTGACATGTTATACATGTTGAAAATGTATATAATATTTTGCACAGCAATAGGTTGTCAAGTTCTCTCTCTGTACGGGATCTTGCTGGAAACATCCCCCACCTTGTAGACAGTTTCTCAAGATAATTATTGCTTTATTTTCCCACTTTCAGACAAAGAAATGTCAGGGAAGCCAAGGCTGTGTCTTTTTGATAAAGGCACAAAGAGCAAGTACTTGGGCTGTGGGTTTGAAAGCTGTCCTCTGCAGCAGGAGAGCACTTTGATGTGCAGCAAAGCAGAAAAATTGTGCATGCTGCTTTCATACGGCGAGTGTTTGGACACATCGAATGAGCAGCTCAAGGTATTGCAGAAGGCTGCTGTACCTTAAATTTGCTTCCAGTTTGAAAAGTCAGCATGTTCAGAGATGGGAAAATTCAACTCTTTTTACTGTTTTGCTTATCATGTCATTCACACTGATGGAAGTCTGAGGTCTCTGAGGTTAATCTCTGAGGAGATTGTGTGGGGCATAAATGCAGAATTGGGTCCTGTATATGTGCATGCGGGATCTTCTTGTTTCCAGACTGCCATATCAATGCGGCTATTTGTGAGCAAGGATTTGTTTTATAAATCAAAGGTTTTACTTGTTACAGAGTCATTCAAATATGGTCAGGTTGTGTTAAATTTGTAAATAACCATTAAAATTGTATTTTCTTGTTCTTCACGGAAATATGGCTAATAATAAAACCTGCAAAAACTCTGTGTTGGTAAACTTGAGGTAGACATTCAATGCTTTTCTAATGAAGAGGAGGATCGGAACCTTAGATTTTGATGTTCAAACTCACACAACAGCAACATGGATAGTGGCAGGGGTCTCCTCTTATGTTGGTGTCTGCTGCTCTGGGACCAAAGGTAAAAATTAAGTGATGCAGGACTCTGGAAACTGAAATTATAATAAAAAAAAAGAACTCAAAAAATGAGTACATGAACATTGCTTATATGCCTGGAACAATAATTGCTACAGATTGTTCAGATTTTTTAGCTTTCTTTATGAAACAGGCAGATGCATGTGTTCAAAGAACAAAATTATCTGAGAAAAATGAGACCTTAACTCTTTTCAGTCAGTGTTATGTTTTCCCTTGGAGAAGCATAATTATCTGCCAAGTGTGGGAAGATTCCTTTGTTTAAATCCTGACTGGCAGCAAAAAAATCTGCTCTATGCTAAAATTATCTAATTTTGTAGCTGTCTCAACAATATGCCTGCTTTTATCAAATGATGCCCTTTCTTCCTTACTGGTAGAATACTCATTGTGCTCCATAAACAGTCTGTTTGCATTATGTAGATTATTTCACAAGAAAAGTGAGAAGTATGCTTTTGACAGGGATAGAAACAATGAAGCATGCAGAAATCAAGGAAGATCAAACATGCTCATTAATTCAGATGGTAAGAAATAGAGGCATTAACATCACAGTATCTTTCTTGTTAGTTTCATACTGTATGAAGTCCCATAGTTGTCACATGGAAAAAGTCTCATTTACTTTTCAATAATCAAATATTTAATAGAAATTCTTATGGTTTACATCATATGCTGTAGAGAAAAGTCCTCATTTAGTGTATTACTTTGATGTATTCTTTTATTGCTTGAAAGGCCAATTCAATTTGAAGAATTTCATGAATATTTTATAGACTCAGTACTCTGACTGATGAGAAATAATGCTCTCTGATGTGATGGAGGCTTTGGGCCTCCATCTCTGTTGTGTTTGAACTAAGCCCAGCACAAGAACAGACTGTGGAGGCAAAAAATCCAATTGAGTCATTTTCTATATTTCTTTATTTCCTATTGTAAGTCAGGGCAACCCTAAAACAGCTACAGATGCTTCCCAAGGGCTTTGTAATAGCTGAGCATATAAGTAATGCAAAGTGATGTCTTTTTCACATCTCTTGTCTGGCCAGACATGCCTTTATTTAGAGTGAAGCCAACTCAGGCAGCTCCATGTTACAATCTTTAATTTAGTTCAACCTTTGACTTAGTCCAATCTAAAACTAGGTTTGATCTTATTTATTTTCTTGCATTAAATTATAAATGTCTTAAAAACTCCTACTCTGTGATTTAGCAGTTTTAATATTACTCCTTTCCTGGTACACTTGGGTTTGAAGGATAATTATGATATAACTGGTTTAATTTAATTTCTACTATTTCTTTATGTCTACTTACGATTATAATACAGGTGTGTATAGGTGCTGAATTATTTTGATTGTCAATATTTAGTGTCTTTTCTTCACACTGGCCTTTTCCCTGTGTATCCTGCCAAAGAAAAAGGAACACTCTATGTAGGATATTGTGAAGAAATATTATGAGTGAAGTAGTACATGTATCAGGGTAGGACTGATGAAAAGCTTGTTAAAAAAGCGATCCATATATGCTCATTTTATATTCTCAGCATCCAAAGCAAATAAAAATGGATACTGATATCCAGTTGGAATATCACTAAGACCCACAGTACACCTATAGATTGCATGTACAGTAACACAGTAGATACAGTCCGTTCCATTCTATTTTCTATTAGAAACAAAAAACTCAGCATTCCTATTTGTTCATACAATGTCTGTGTTGTCCACATTGCTCAGAAGACTCAGTATGAAGCACTTCAGGTGCTGGCCTCAACTGTATTGTAACACAGTTGAAAAATTAATCTTTCATCCTGTTACAGAGCCAACAGATCCATCTAATTTGTATGCACTAAACAAGAAGTAAACCAGTATAAAATGGTATAGACAGTACAGAACATATATGTATGTCCTAGCGATGTTTTGCACTTGTGCTACAAAATTATTGATGCTATTGGGTTTGCCCAGCAATGAAATCCCTTCTGTGAGCATGACTGATCATCATAAGCAGAGAAACTGGTGCCTGTGTTTTAAGTCATCCTGTTTTCCTCTTGATGAACAGACTGGAGGCCATGCTAATCTGCAGCTGAGGTAAGCATCCAAACCAAATAGATGTGAGAGTTGTTGCAGTTCTTCTCCCTAACAGTTGCCAATGCAATTAGCCATTAAAAGCAGTAAAATATGGTAAAATCAGTGAAAAATGGGTAAATCTGTACAATAAGGTGGGTGTACTGTGAGAGAAAGGGAAGGAGGAGGGAAAACAAGGTTTTAATCATTTGTGTCTGTCCTCAATGTAGAGACATACTTTGTGCCATTCAATAGCATGAAGATCATGTGTTTTAATAACAATCTTTAAGATAGTGGTAAGAAATATAAACTAAATATTGATTGTCTGAGCTCTACGATTTGATAAGGAAATTAGTTTCTGATTTATTTGGTAGGAGCCCTTAGTTTCCTCCAGAAAAGACGATATAAAGACACAATATTGCGCTATTAGATAGATTTGGTGTTCAAGTTAGGTACTAAACTTCCTTTAATAAATATGAATACTTGAAAAAACCTATACTCTGTTAAAAACACAATTTCAAACTCATTCTTAACCTTTTAGCTTATCAGAGACTGACACAGAAAGGAGCTTCTTGAGCACATAAAGCATAAGGAATTTAACTCCTGTTTACATTTTTCCTGAAAAAAAATTATTAAAACCATGCTTGAGTAATCACTTTTAATGAAAGAAAGTATCTCTGTGAGTTAGATACTCATCATATGCCTGATGTTGTGAAATAAGTGTATCTCAAGACTATCATGCCTGATTACTGAACATTTTCAAGACATCATTATTAAGGCAAGAAGCTTTTTTTGTGTGTGCTGGTTAACCGTCACACTGCTGATTTGTGAATGTATGCAACTCTTTGACATTTTTCTCATACCTTCTTCTGATATCCCTTTTTATGTCTCACTACATAAGACAGAACCATATTTTCAAGAGCGTTTGCCTCCCATCCCTGCAATCCCGTTACTTAATGTTAAAAATAGTGAAGGACCTGCATGGTGGGGGCGGGCAACAGAGCAAGAGGAAAGGGAAATCTGATACACAGCAAAGATTCTTTCAGCTCAGCTGAAGGGCAAAGATGTTTTTATGATTCTGTAATCCACTCATAGGTAAGATCAGACCTAGACACACAGACCAAACCAACGCAGTCCAACAAAAACCAAACTTTAAAGAAATTTCTGAGCCTCTACATCCCAGGACCTTCAGTATTCTTAGGCACTGTTACTCTACAAGTTTTATAAAGCAGAGAACAAGAAGCAAAGCCATGTGTCTGCCTTTTTCTGAGTTCTGTATTATGCTTTCTTGTCGTAAAAGACAGCTCAGTGTAATGACTGTAGCCATCTTACAACCTGCAGGCCATTTCTGGCCTCCAAGCTGTGAGGAATGTATAAATAATCCAGAAAAAAAAGGCAGCCCAGGGCAGGATGCAAGAGCTGCTGCAGCTGCCAGCTATCTTGTCTGTCCCCCATTTTTGGGCAGAAACATCTTAACACTCGTGCTGTAGGTGAGAAGCACTTGAAATAAAGTCATCTCTTTGGATAATAATAATGTCATCAATGAAAATTTTCATAAAAGCATTTCACTTCTCTCTCTGATTTCACGGCATTCAAAATCTACTTAGAAAGCACCTGAATTTAAATAAGAGTCAAACTGTGTCAACTTTTAAATAATTTCTTGTTCTTCAAGATACTGGTAACCTGATACCAGAAATTCTTTTATCTCTCTTGAGCAAAGTTTATACAACTAGGAGTCACTTTTCCACTCTAGCAGCTAAAAAGAATCAAAAAGATTTAAAAACAACAAAGGACATGAGAAAAGTTAGAAGAAAAGCTCTGGTTTCTCTGGCTTCAACCACACTGCTCTCTTGAAAGCATACTGAATATCACTGCATCCAAACAGAGAAACATCATAACTTCTTTTTTTCTTAGCCTGTGATGGTTGATATTATACAGGAATAACAGAGCAATAAAATGGCAACCTTGTCCTTTTGGGTTTGGAACTGAATGCCAAAAATAAAACCAAATTTATACAGAATTGAAACCCACTAAATAAAATTGCTGATTAATTAGAACTTTTCAAGGATTTTCTTCCGATCTGAAAGCATATCCAAGTCCAAAATCCAAATTCAGATCAGCATATACCTTTTTTTCAGACAGGTCTGTGTGCTCTGGTGTATCTCAGACTCCTCATGATCCAGTTCAGAAGCTGGCACAGGAGAGGTAACATTAGGCCAATTTTTCTTGCAGACCTGTGGGCCTGGCTCTAATTTCCCTGGAAACCAAAGTGCAGAGAGAACAGAAAGAAAGTTCTTGCTGGTTTGTACCAGGTACACACACCTGTGTAGATGAGGCCTCATGAGTTAGTACTTCTTACCGGCAATACATGCAACTGGTTGACCTAGTGCAAAAATTTTGCTGCAAAGCATAATATTTTGATGATATATTTAAACATAGCAACTAACCGGGAAATTATAAAAAATATAATCTAAAATAATTTTATCTCAGCCAAGATGCACTTATTTTATAACTACACTGGAAAAAACCTTACATGTCTCTGTATACTGTGCTGTAGACACATATAAAAAAGATGGGAGAGCTCTCTGCATTGAACTTCAAGCGCATGCCTGTAGTCCAGCTGTAGGAATCTCTTTTTCAGCATTTCCAGCTCATTTTCAGCAGAATTTCCTCAGAGGTTTCTACAAGTCACTGACCAAGGTGTAAAAGAGGAAACACCTTGTCCCAACCCACCAGTGAGCCATGCGTGTTCTCAAAAGCACTCACATGCTCTGACAGCAAAACTGGAAGTTGTGGTGAGAAGGGGAGTGCCAGCTCAGAGTGCACTCTGCAGAACAACTGCAATCCAGTATGGAAGAAATCAATAGCTAGATTAATTGATATGCTTAATATGTATTCGGTATTTTGTGATTTGTAAATCAGTGGAAACACAAGAATACGCCACTTATTAGCAGTGTAGGAGGAAGTAGTTACCTTATCTGAGATGAAATGGGTCTGTGAGAAGGGGAACTGTCCTGTGAGTCTGTAAGAAAAGGTGGAGGTGAGCTGCAGGTTAGAAGACAAACACTACAGAAAGAGATGGCATTCAAAAGTAAATAAATAAATAATAAAATCTGCAAAGTCATAAACCATCAGCAAGAGAATGAACTGCATTTCTAAGCAGTTAGGAAGAAAAAGAGAAATGAATCCAACCCTTCACTCCTCGAAGCAAGGAAGTTAGAAGTGGTTTATAGTTTCAATACTGAAGACTGGCAATGATAGTAAAAATTAAAAGCAAACTGGGCATTCTGCTCTTTATCATTCTCCCCAGATAAAATCACAGAAGATATCTGTATGTTGTTTACTAGCACTCAGTTTCCTATAAGGTATAAATACAGCTAACTAAAACACCGATGGCCAATCACACCAGAATGCTGAAGGTACACACAATTGCATCTCAAAAAAGAAGCACTCCTTGCTGTTGGCTGCAGCCCATTCGTGGTGGTGTCATAGTGGCATGGAATTTCGTTGTGCAGTGGAAAGGGACAGGTTGTGCCTCAGTAGTGGACTTTGCAATCTTCTTGAAGCCATGCTATAATGACATATCAATAGAGAACTTTCTGCAGACCTCACGGACTCAGATCTTTATTGAATCCATCATGTGAATTGAATGCAATGCACTCTTCACTTGGTGGGTTCAATAATGAACAGAAAACAACACTCTTGTTTGTCTTAAAGTAATGAGCAAACTCCCAAATCTCTATATATGGATTCAAAAGCTGAAACACTTGCGTGTAGGTAAAAAGTTCTCCTGGTCTTGGACTTACACAGAGCACATACTCAGTGCTGGAGTGTACTCATTTATTTATTTCCTGGTAAACAGTAACACCTGCTGAGTGCACATCATCATAGTGCAAGCAAAAACCTTTACTGCTGTTTTCTACTTAAGCAATAAATGATGTGCTGCCATTCACATTTTACAACACAGAAGCTTGTTACAGAGAACTGAAGTGTCTTGCCTAAGGTCACACAAGATTTACTTAGTCTGAGGCAGTGATCATTTAGCTCAGTCATACAAGAGAATCTGCGTATCAGGTAGCAGCTATTTAACATGAAATATGTCATAAAGCAAAGAACAAAGACTCAGCAACACTGTCATCATCATTCAAAGGGAAGACATCTCAAGGGGGTGGTGACCCTTCCCAAGCTGAAGTTCTGTAATAAAGGGGCATTTTAGCAAGACAAGGTCAGAGGCTAATTATAAGAGTTACAGAAAGCACAGAGAAAAGCTTACGGAAAATTCATCAAGTTTCAAAAATAAGTGGTTATGTATGATTTACATCTCAGGTTTCAGATTCTTATCTATCCTGGCTTCACACATAGGAAAAATCGTTTTGACCTCTGACTTCACGTTGCAAATGTGTAGAACTCCCCTTTTTGTACGATTTTGAAGTGAAAACCAGCCTTACGCATTTCAAAATTAAAAAAAAAAAAAAGATAGCTGAAACTGGGAAGTTTAAGAGCAAAAATAAATTTATCAGGAGACAGTATGTGTCAATAAATGTTTGACCTTAGCAAACCTTTACTTGAGACTTTACTCTTAAAGATTCCTTCACGTGTAAATAACCAAATCCACACTGAGAAACTGGAAATGCAACAAGCCATATAATCATGAGAACATGAAGTCATACTGAAAGCTAATAGCCAGAAGCCATCTGCAATCACAGGCTGTAAAGCATCCTTTCCTTAAAGCGTACTGAATAGTTCTTTAGTCTAAGTGTATTGACCTTAACAACACGAGGTGCACCTTGGAAGCAATAAACAACACTCCTGTAAAAAACAAAGCCCAAAAACAAAACAAAACAAAACCTATTCTTCCACAGAGCACTGTTTCACAGTTATGCACAAGGACATCTGGTATGTGGACTGACCAAAAGCTGTTCTGAAGGCTTCGCAATTATTGCAGATTTGAAAGTCAGTAAAATACCTTTGGAAGATTCTTTATAAATGGTACCAATGGAGATTTCTCAATTAAGAAAGCAATTTGTAATCTAACAGCCAGCTTTTCTTAACCTGCTTTTTTATTGGGATATATTCACTTCACATAGGCTTGTTTGAAATATATTGTTTTCCATGTTACTAACAAAGTATTTTGAGATTCCAGATAATTGGGTCATTCAGGCAGGAGTATGTGCTTTGAACTTCATTATTCCAACTGATGTGTGATCTTGCAATTTGATGGTCAGATGCACAGAAATAACTGGTGTTTATATTCTCCCATGAAATTTTAATGAGTGGCAATAAAAAGCTCAACTAGAAAACTTATTATTGGTTTTAAATTGATTTATATCCTTTTCAAGACCATGTTTTTAGTGCCCTCTCATACTTTATAGTATTTTTCACTACTAGAACTTAATTCTTCTAAAAAGAAAAAAATAGCATGTGTATTCAAAGATTAATTTCATTGCAGAAATGCTTCATTGTCTAAAGCTGGGATAAATTGCAATGAAATACAGCTTATTTTCTAGACCTAATACCTTCTTATAATAAGAAGAAATGGAACCTCCAATTAGATGTTGGTGATCCACAGGAATAGCTACACTTTTTCAAGCACTAACTAACTAACAAACCAACTTTGCAAGAGGCACTACAGGCTTCTCTGCTAAGACAACAGGTGTCTATTACTAAGGAGGAAGAGAGGTGGCCAAAGAAAGGAAACTGCAGGAACAACACTGCAGATGAAATAATACTTAAAATGACATTTAATTAAATATTGTATATTCAATATATGAATCTTGTGATGTCTATGAAAATCACTTTTCTCAAGATCTATAAGGAGACTGGCAGACAACGCCAGTAAAGCAACACCTGAGAATTTTTCTAGAGTCACATCTAAACACTATTCTACAGCAGCATAAATTGATGATGGCTGTAATCTTTTCAAATTACACTCAGAAAATGAGGAAAGCTTTTCAACATGCTTGATGTCATAATACTAATACCAAAATGTGTTGTTTGGTACAGGTAATTACACTCTAGTTCACATTCCTCAAACATCTATTTGAATTCATTGTCAGAATTCTGATTTGAGTCAGGCTGGTCTGAACTCACAGCTCATAAATGCATCCATCACTCTTCTAAACTGGCCTCATCACTATATAGCAAGAAGGGATTTTGGTGCTTTTTATCTGTTTGTTCACTTACTTTTTCCCAGCTGTTCTCTCCAGGGCAAATATATGTTTTGTTAAATTGGTTCATTTAGAAATGGCTTGGAAAGCAACTGAATTGACAGCAACAGTGCTTCGTTAAATTTATTTGAACAACAGACTATTTTGATTTCTTGATTATGAACAAATGGCTACAGACTTTTATAAGTCAATGTCACTGCACTGTCATAGCTCAGAGAAAACTATGGAGCTTGCTGAGTACAACTCAGCTGAAGAACTCAGTCTTTGCTGTATTTGTGAGCTCAGACTATTGGTGATTTTTACCTGAGCTTTTGTTAAGTCAAGAAGAGTTCAAAAACAGAATGATTTTTTGTCACACAGAGCATCTTTGTGCAAATTTGAAGCTAAATGCACATTAGTGGAAATACAAAGAACAGTCACAGGTGGATTATGCTGAGCATAGGAATGCAATGTTTTTTTTTTTCCTTAATATACCAGAAGATAATTTTTCAAAGTATTCAGAAAAAAGTTCAAACTATTCATTGGGGCATTTCTAGACTCAGTCAGATAGTTCAGCTTTACTGAGCTGTATAAGGCTGAACAAGTAGTAAGAAGACTTAAGGAGGAGTTATACCAATTATTTATTGTATGAATCTGAAGCATTAGAAACGGACACGACAAATGTAGTGTAAAAGCAGGTTCAGGGCTGTCTAAATCACATCCATGGGACCAAAGGACCTGGACAAGCCAGACAGCACTTGTGACACTTGGCTGATTCCTACATAACTCCACAAGGCCCTTGCAGGTCGTTAGCTCCCAAATGTTGAGCAACATTGACAGCAAAGAGGTAGAGATTGTATTTCTACCCATCAGTTTCAACCAAGTATGATCTTATTCCATACAAATGCACTTTACACAACGTTTTTTTAATACCACAGGCAAGTATGAAGTAGAAAGTCACCCATTTAGGATTTCTCTAAGCTTCTTTTAATCGACATAAAAATAAACTAACTTCAGAAAGCCTTAGAAGGAAGACTTTGTGCAAGTGACTTGCCTAGCATCATCAGAAGAAAGACCTTCAAAAAAAAAAAAGAGGGCTAATGTCCAAAATGTCTACCAGCTTCTTCAAAGAAATGCCTTGTTTCATTATCACCTCACTTTCCAAAAATAACATGAAGAATTTTTCTCTCTAGCCAGGGTATAGGAGCAAGTTATCATTCATGAGAGTGCCACCTGGCAGCTCACTGAGCACACCAGTGTGCATACTGACTGCAGCAAGCTCTTTTCTTTTTTTTTTTGGTTAAGTTTTTTTCAAGTGAGTGAGGAAAAGGCCTTAGGAATCCTTTTGACAGTGCTCTATTTTCACACACCCAATACAATGAAAATGTTGTATACATTAGTATTTACAACCTGATTATAATGTTTGTATCATAAGAGACACTAATATGATAAAGGAATTTAGAGTATTATCTTTTTGCCACTAATGTGGGATGTAATCTGTTTTCAGTCACCACTTTAGCCTAAAGTATTTAAAATAGAAATTAGAAAATAATTCTTCATTTTCTGTAACAATTTGAAAGAGTTGGAAAAGTGACATGGCTTCTCATCTACTTAGGGGAGCAGGAATGACAAGTAAATAAGGGTGCTGCTTAAAAATGTATCCTTAAATAAAGGGATAGCAAGAGAAAAGGTGACTAAGAAAAATCAAACTGAGCATAATATATAGAAGAACATAACCAGGATGGAAGGACAAGCTTATTGGAATATGAGGTATATCTTATTAAAATATTGTCTTACCTCATTTTGCCAGCTTTCAATGCATCTTTATTTACTCATCCACAACCAAAATTCACTTTCTGTTTCCATCTATTTACTCCTTGTACTCCCTTTTTTTCAGTCTATCTGAAATGGAATTCAAAAGTAAAATTAGTAGTTGAACGACTATTAAATTATTCCTAAGCAAATAACTTCTTACTCAAATTCAAATTTCTAACTAGATTATTTCTTCTCCCCCACTGACTGTAAGTTAGGAGAAAATTGGCTGCTTTAGCTGCACTTATAGACCTCTTCTTAAGAAAGATCTATTTAATGCATATATTTGTTAAAAGCAGATGATGGTGGCTTAGTCTCTGAAATGCCTCTTGCTTCAATCAGGATTTTCAAGAAGAGTGATACTATCACCAGCGAACAAGGATTTCCAGTGTTGACTCAAAAAGCATGGGAAGCATGTAGATACTTGAACTGAGAAAACTACTGGTATACGGCAAGATTAATGGAATCATAACATTTGCAATTTATGTTATCTGAACCAAGAGCAACAGAGCCTGTCCTCCTACCAAAAGACTTTCCACAAGAGAGCCTCAAATTCCATCATCCCAACCAGTTTTAAATGGGTGACATTTATGTAATTTAACAGGATACCACATGAAGATCTGAGCTGTCCCTATGAATCAGCCCAAATTTCCCTGGGCTTGCTTACATTCTATAGATAAGAGGTCATCCTAAACAAGTTTCCATGGTTACTACCAGCAACACACCTACTGATAGCAAACACCTCCTGTGAAGCTTCCTATTAGCATTCTCCTTTTCAGCATCTTCAGTGCACTGATAAGGAAAATGTTGCAATGACTAGAAAGATTAAAAGAAATATCTTTAAGAAGGAAATTATTTTTATGTTTGGAAAAAAAGAAAAAAATACTAGGCCAGACATGTACCCTTCCAAGTTTTTATTACCCATGAACACAGCAGTATGTTCTGATCATTCATTTTAGACAGACTCAAAATGCTTGTTTGGCAAAATTATTGCTTTACATAACAGTTTGTTATTTTTGTTTTGATTAATGACTTTTCTAGTTTCTAAGTGGCAACAATTTCTGCAGCTGCATTGGAGAAAGAACCTTTTTTGGAACTGCTGTTACCTTTTGGTAAGAAAATGACTGTCCTGCCAGTGTATTTTAAAGAATCCAATTAAATCTGTCCTAAAAAGAAAAGTACCTAATGCAGCTTTTTAATAGGTAAAATTTTTCAAGCATTCTGCTCTTGTTTTTCTACTTCATTAGTATTACATTCCATGTGACTGTCCAGACAAGATAAATTGCTTTTGTTTGAAATTAATTTACTGTATAAACACGTTCTCACTAAATATTTTTGGAAGCACTCATACTTCCACACTGCTCCTTTCTCTAGCTCAGTTTTTACAGCTTTCAGTTTTTCTGAGTTAGTGCAGTAGAAGAACACTGTGCACATGGCCTTTTACTGCTTGATCTTTGTCATTTACAGAATTTGGTCACAGAACAAGGATGCATGAAAATATAGCTTTGTGTCACAAGCACATAAAGCAAATTGTAGTCTTCAGATAAGGAAACTGAATAAACTTTGACTTGTACAAAGCTGAACACTGCTGTGGTTTTTCTGTCTAAACCAAAAGCAGAAAGCTGGCAGATCTCTGAATCCACAAGATGAGCTTCTTTGAAATGTGATGGACGAATGCAACACTCAACCCACCAGTACTTCTTCAGCTGTCTCACACAGCTTACCAAGTAAGAGGCAGAAGAACATCAAGTACAAGCTTCCAATCCCACCTGCACTTCAAATAAACTGGATTAGGGCAGAATTTAGGCAAAATTCTGGAGTTTCCACACTTTTTAAAAGGAGACATTTATCTTCAAACCTTCAGCTTTCACGTGGAAAACAAGAGGAACTAGGAAAACAAAACTTTTAACTGCCAGATTATCACCATGCTTTGAATGAAAAATCTGGAAACCAAGACTTCAAAACTTTTTTGGAAATCTATAGCAGGAAAGAAGCTGCTTTTATTTCTGATTGCCAAAATGCAGAGCTGCAAAAGCCTTGTAAAAAATGCATGATACAAAAAATGCTGAAGTAGCAGCGGATGTTGAGAGAGCGTGTGCCAGAGATTTGTATTGAATTTTATGAAGTAGACACATGGATTGAGTTACATTATGTGAAAAGGTCTTGGCACACAGAAACAATTGTAAGCAGCCAAGGAATACAGTGCAGAAGAGCCAGGAGGACAAAGTCTTTCAAATGAAGGTAGAAAGTGAAAGGAAACAAGATCTGAGAGCTGTGGCACGTTGTATCCTGTAATAAAGGACAGGGGAAGTAAAATTCTCAAAGCATTCATGAAGAAATCCAGAGCTTAGTGCCATATTCCAAAAATAAATCAGAAGAATCTGTGTACAGGAAGGTTAGTAGCCAGTCTGTTACTATAAACTCATTTGGTTTTGTTTTTAAATCCTATTATTGTGGGTTTTAGTTGCTGGTTTTCTTGTTTGTTGGCTTTGACTTCTTAAAGAAGAAACGTTTCACTTAATTGGGCCAAAGACAACCTCATTAGAGTAGAGACATTTAAGAAACGGATAGAACAAACTACAGAAAACACCACGGGCTCTTCTAGTGAAGCATGGGTAGAAAGGATACAGCCTTCCCATCAGAGAGCCAGCCCACACTTCAACAGCTTCATCTCTCCATTTTGTATCAGCCCTGTGGTTGGTGGGGATCCTGCTTTCACTTGAAAGCTCTTGTTTGTTGAACCTTCAGTTTGACTTTCACACTTTGTGCCAACATTTTCTTCTTTTCCAGCTTCTGGCTGCTGTTGCACAAGTGAGGATGTCCCAATGCTCAGCTCTTTCCCAAGCTTTCTGGCTCTGGATGGAGGTGGGAGGTATCCTGCATAACTTTTCTCTTGCATAGATCTTAGTGTCAGAGTGATTAGTTGCAGTACTACTTGATTACTGCTCAGAATGGAGCATGTCAGAACAACTCTTTATTTGTTTGAAGATTTAAATTGGTTTATGAGTTTCTATACTCACTGTCATTCAAGTTCTTTAAAATTCTTGCTTTCATTCTACATAATCTTATAATGATACAGAATGGGTAACACATATAACCAATTACTTTTTATCATAATCCTGGTTTGATCAGAATGATAAAATTTTTGCTGGTATTTTTCTTATTTCAATAAACACTGAACTAAAGTGTCCTCACAGCCTGATCTTCAATGTACTTCCTCATAAATGGAACAGAAAAATGTAAAGGTAATACTATCTGATCACAAGCTTACGTTGAATCCAATAACTACGTCATAATCCAAAGCCCATACACCAAAGTCTGAACAAGCCTAAGTGTGCTTTTTTGTACTAGCTGCTAAGGCACTTCTACGGATTCTCCAGTCAGATCACTTGAGCCAATGATAGAGGAACTGCAGACTTTGTTTTCCTGGAATTACAGTCCAAAAATACATTTAAAAAATGGTAAAAATGGCACTATAACAAAACTCAAAAAAATTGGAAGTTCCACACTCGGTCTGATTACTTCAGCCTAACTAGAGATCAAAAACAACCCTAAGTTCAATATAAAGTCTTAATGTTTATCTGTCTGTCACTTCTTTGTGCAGCTGCGGACTCAGGACTTCTAAAAAAAGAAAGAGACATGGAGAAAGACAATCACGCAAACAGGACAAATAGCAGCCAGTGTAAGTCTGAGGAGCTGTGACGCATCCCAGGAAAACTACAGAGCAAGCTTGGGTGATGACAATGACCAACCCTATCTTTGACCTTTAGTCAGTCTTTATAATTATTGTGATTTTCTTTCATTTTATTGTGGTTTTTCAAAATGTATCTACACTGTACAAATGTTGTTTTCCTCCGTTAAAAGAATCCAAACAAACAAGCAAAAAACCAAGCTAAAAGTACAACCCCAAAGCTTGAAACTACATATTATTCCTGGCCACGTTCAGAAGGCAGAAAACAAATGAAGCTGACCGTGTTACTCTGCTGTTTCAACTATGCCTGTCAATCCAACAAATGCCTGTTACTGTCTACACACCTACCCAGACAGACATGTATGACCTGCAGCTGGTCATGCTCCCATAAAGCGGATGAAAGCGCTGTGCTTGCTGGGTCTGGACACCTGGGCTGCCTTCCCTGTGAAGGGTTCCCTCTAAAGTGAAAGACAAACAGAAGATCTAAGGCTGTAAAATCTGTCTCTCTGATGGAAGTTGCAGCACATCCACAGACGACACCTATTCAACAGCTCAATCGACAAAAACAATGATTAAATATCAACTACTTACCAAAGCAGTGTATTTAAACTACTTGAGGGCTGTTTACAGCACAACACAAGAGCAGTGACAAAAAAACCCCACTCACTCTGAGCCAGGAGTGAGTAACAGCCTTTTTCTCCTGATAACATTACGTGTGTCTTTGGACAACAATAGGACAGATCCTGCTACGTGATTCAAAGGCTTTCTGGTGACTGTGGGAGAGAGGATGGATTTGATACTGCAGTGAAAGGAGGGAAAAGATCATGAGTTATACCCAGATGGACAGAGATACTTATTCTGATGCTTGAAACTGACCTCTGTTTAGATTGTGGGTCTGATTTCACAGCATCAACATTCTTCAGTCATTCTTGAATGAAAACTTCCAGGAATTCAAGCTGGGTGATTAACTCTCAAAATTTCAATGTTATTAAAGTTTAGAAAAGAAAATAAATACAATCTTAAAAAAACCCTAAATGGCTGCAACTGAGAACTAAGAATTTGAATGTGCCTCTGCTTTGAGCCCCTGAGACAGCAGTGATGATCTGTGTTTGCATTTGGAGGCACTGCAAATCCAATCAGCCCAGGGAACTGCTGTACTGAACTATGCAGATCAGATGAGGCCTAACCATTTTCCAAGTAGATTTATTAGGGGACTAATGTGTTTTTAGCCCTTCCATCACTCTCTGTGACACTTCCCCATGAACTGTATATAGGATTTCTGGATGAACGTCAAGTTGTATGGTGGATCTGGAAATATGGTTCTCCTACATCTCCACAGATATACTCCACAGAGATAAACTGACCACACATGCAAAAGGTGTCCTGATGTTGCTGGATGCTACCCATGAATTTTGATTTCATGCTGGTAGCTGGTCTGTACACCTCCTGAGATGCTACATTCTCTTCAAATACGCCTTCTCATTTACTCACTCAATGTAAAGGGAAATTAAATGCAAAACAGGGGTGTATTTCCATCTAAGCAGGTTTGCAGTATCAGGTCTGAAGTTCCTGTAGCTCACATTAACAAAAGCACAGACATACACAAAAGCAGTCAAAGAGCCACTTGCTCTACAACAACAATTAATTTATAAGGGGCAAACACAATAAGTGCAATTTTGCAGGCCATCTGCCCCAAAATATATATTCCAATATTTCACCACTCTCTGCTCTACTACATCATCACCGTGGCAACACTGGCACCCTAGGAAGTTGCATTAAAACTGCTCAGAAGAACTGATATTTTCCAGCGTTGTAGGCAGTTTAGAGTCTTAACTACTAATTCTTTGCAGCTCTGCAAGCTGAGATGAAAGGTGCAAAAAGCTTTAATCTCGACACAGAAGTCCTAAAGGAAATGTCTCTCAGAAGCAAAGCACTGCTGGCAGAGGCACTTCTCAGCTGGGCTGTAGGACTGCAGCTCGAGGGCTCTGGTGCTCACAGATGGCTGCATGCCACTGCCATCTTCTGAAAGCCCTTGATCCCCTTGGGCCACACCTCTGCCCTGAATGCTTTGAAAGCATTCCTAACACTTAGGAAGGCAGAAAGAGCTCATTTATTAGTTCTCTCTTCCCAAAAGAAGAAAAGCTCTTTTTTTTCTGTTCTTTTTCCCAAACTGCTGCTACTGCTTAAAAGATGATACGACAGAAGGAAGACAGCCAGCCATGGATGTAGGTATCTACCTGCCTATGCCCTTCAATCTACTACGTGTAATTTAAAAATACCAGGTTTGGTCTCATCTCTGCAATAGAAAAAAAAATGCCTTTTGTTGAGTTTAGCAGTAGATCTCATGCTGCCTATTTAAGAACCTGTTTTCATAACCACCACTGAAGCAGCAGAACTCTCCAGAAGTACGCACAAATTTTAAGTTAAATATATTCCACCTCTTCAGGAATAGTTTTACCTGACTATATATGAGGCTAGTGCAGTCCTCTTCTTTATAACTCCACTATATTCTTGGAAAACTTTTAGAAACTTAGCTCTTTCATACTTTCCCTTGTGATTTAACTTTCATGCTGCCTGCTATTTTATTAGGTTTGCTGTAAACTTATTTTTACAAGAGATTCAGAAAGAAGCCTTTACTCAAAGCTCTCACATTAAAATTTTCAATAGGGCAACCAAAGTTGACCCCAATTACCTGTTACCATGGTTTGTACAGTATGAAGAAGCTATTCGTAGGAATTAATCTTTCTCTCAGACAGCAATTGCAGCACATCCAGAGACTACACTTAGTCAATAGCCCAACCCACAAAAACAACCATTAAATATCAAACTACTTAGCAAAGCAGTGCATTTAAACTACTTGAGGTCTGTTTACATCACAACAAATAAAAGCAGTGACAAAATAATTCATCACTTTCATATCTTTGTTTATTTTACCTTTTCTTGGGGTTTACCTCTGTCCTATGGAATGCGTTATTGTATGGTGTGTACTTCATATAAGCGCTTACACTGGCAGCTAGTTATGAGCAGACATGTTGGAGCTGACTGCTAATGCTAATGAGGACTGTCAGCATTGCTCTCTCTTGCAGGCACATTGATTGAGGATGGCTCCAGAGATTCAGACATTCGAGAGACACTCTCCAGGCCTGATTGCAACATAGAGACGTTAAACTACGAAATAATCCTCTACTTAATTTAAGCCTGCAAAACTGACTCAAGTCAAAGTGAGTTTGTCTTAAGAAGTTCTATGTGCACTGGGTGCCTGTGGAATATAGCTCCATTTTCTGTCTTACCAGTTCAATTCAACTGTGTTATTCTGGTGTTAAACATGGCAGAAAGAGGCAATGACACACCATACCACTTAAGCACTTTTTGTTTGCAGTTTCTGCCCTGTATCATTAGAGTTTATGCTACACTTCTCCCTGGTCAGACTTACAGATATGCAGTTTGTCAGTTTGCCCCATCTTCATTTTAATGAATTTTGACACCACCTGCGACATTCATGTAAATTGACAGTGCATTTTTACATATAGTTGTAAAATCCAGCATGCTCTAGATGGTATAGAATCACAGAATCATAGAATCGCTCAGGTGGGAAAAGACCTTAAATATCATTGAGTCCAACCATGACCTAACCACACTACCCTAACTCTAACAACCATCCACTAAATCATGTCCCTGAGCAGGGGCTCTGATTTGGATACCATGGCTGCACCTTCTTTTAAGGAAAAAAAAAAAACCCAATCAATTCTAGGCAATTGTTACATTGCTTTGTAGCCTAATAAATCACAGTTTGCTGTAATGTTACTCTAATGCTCTGAGACAAGTGCTGGTGCATTAGTTATGAAGATAAGAGTTTGTGGGCAAGCACTCATTAACTTTCACTAATCCTTTAACAAACTCACACACAATTGAGAAGGGTTTAAGTTACGGCAGCCCTGAGGTTTATTGCACTGATACAGTGATCTTTCAGGATAGATTCATTGTTTCCTTTTTTTGTTTTGATTGAATGAAACTATGTGCTGCCTCCCTTGCTTTTAAAAGTCTTTGAGCATGTTTCTGAACTGAGCTACAGTTTATGAGAGACCCTTCTTTTATATGGAGTAAAAGCCAGATTTGCCTGAGAGTGATCTAAAATGCAGTCTCACTACGCAGTACCAGCAGTAAAACGATGTGATTCTGCAGAGATACACAACTGTATTTTTTCTGAATAGGAGAGAGACTTCAAAGCACCAATGAAAGCCCCTAAAAGCTAAATTAAGTAGGTCTTTGTGCTGGGAAAACTATCAGTCCCTGAGGGAAATCAGAGGTGAGTTTTGCTTTCTGCAGAAGCCAGGAAATACAATAGGTTACAGGGAGTGAAGGTACTGCTGAAAGCTGGTGTGAGTCACTCACCTCAAAAGTACAGGATTTCCCCTTCATTTCACAGCTTCCCCATAGCTTTGGAGAGCTGTTCTCATTGTTTGTCTAGGGAACACTTTTTTCTTCAGGTTCAGTGATCCTTTCTACCTTCCCATATGAGGTAGAAGAAGCTGCTAAATTTTTGTGTTCTTCATTGTATGTCTTGTACTTTTCAGAAGTCAGTGGCTCAGGGGAAAGAGAGAGGAAGCAGCACAGTTTTTGGAGAACTGCTAAGCAAATTCAGGTGAAAGGCTTAAATACACTTTAGGGACAGTGTGGGTTGAGCTAGAAGCTGGGACCTGCAAGATTTGCTGCAGCTCAGAAAGTTGTGGAGGCTAAAACACTAATCAGAGAAGAAAAAGACATCTTGCAAAGACTGTCATAGCCAAATGTCATTGGTTTACAAATCCTTTTAATTTCCATTTTCTCATAATTTTCCCTTTTTAAAGAATTTGAGACTTTAGTCTAAGCAGATCTGTTTTTGAGTTCTGCTTGAATCTGTCTCCCAGGGCTATAAAGGTCTGGCCAAGTACATAGGATTACAAAGCAATTCCAAAGAACACTGTCCCTGGCAATGAAAGAATAGGAAAGCTGACTATGGCTCATAACATCAATAAGTTCAAAAAGTGCAAAAGTGAGAGGCCTGATGAAATACCATTTGGGCACAATACAGCTGAATACATTTCCAACTCTCCAGCAATTCACTTAATGTATCTTACCGTCTATGCCTTCACCTATACAATGGAGATGGTGGTGTATTCCTGTTTTCTAGACATTGTTGCTACTAACACAAGTAAGACTGCAGCTCCCTGAAAGGAGGCTGTGGTGAGGTGGGAATTGGCCTCTTCTCCCAGGTAATAGTGACAGAATGAGAGGTGATTGCCTCAAGTGGTGCTGGGGGAGGTTCAGGCTGTATACTGGAAACAACAGCTCAGAAAGAGTGGTGAGGCACTGGCACAGCGAGGTGGTGGAGTCACTCTCCCTGGCGGTGTTCAAAAAACGTGGAGCTGTGACACTGAGGGACATGGCTAGTGGGCAGTATTGGTGGTAGGTAAATGGTTGAACTAGATGATCTTAGAGATCTTTTTCAACCTTAATGATTCTATGGTTCTACAATTCAATTCAAAGCTATGGAGTTACCAGAAGTCATCTCCAAGGTGAAGTGAATTTCCCAGCTTAATTTGCCCCTGCAGCAGGAGAAGAGCAGTTTCCAGCAAGAACACAAGAGCATTTAAGGAGATAATGCATCTTCCTGTCCTTCCTTATTTAGTCATGGATGTACACTTAGCACTTTTGATTGCCATAAAAGTCTTGCTCTTCTTTCAGAAATAGGACAGCAATACTAGTTGGAACTGTGGGGCAGGAATAATGCTGGCAGGCTCAGAGGGAACAAACGCAAGCACTGCAACATGCATACCATGCACAAAATGAGGCACCTTCAGAGAGCTTGCTGACAAAACAATAGCCAATCTATATAATAATACTTTTGTTAAACAAACTGCAGGATATATGGAGAAACATACCAAGTAAAACACGTAACAGCACAAATAAACAAGAC